AACACAACTCACCAACTCATAACTCACCAACTACCCACTGGAGGAGAGCAGATGAGTTGATATCCATATATCCAAGACATTTGTGTATTCCTTACCCCCTTCAAGACCCTCTCCTGCAGCATTCACGGTCTCTTACATGGTTCTGCCCCCCTACTTGGTGACCCACGGATAATGGATTTACCCCTTCCTTAACCTTAATACAATCTACTTGTGAGCCCTTTAGAAACCTCCAAAACATTCCTTGAATTCTCCTCACCCTTCTCCATATGCTGTACCCGTCACCCAACCTGGAAAACTGCAGCTTGCTAACTGGGCCCCAGCTTCCATGCTTGCCTCTCTAATCCTGCTGGCCACAGAGCTGGAGTGATCTTGTAAACATGTAGAGCAGATGGAGAAAGCCACCGTTCAATGACTTCCCATTATCTACAAAGCTTGGCACTATCGGTTCCTGTGTTCCTGCCAGTTCCTTGTCCCTCTGCCTGGCAGAGGCCTCATCCTTCAGGTCTTAGCTTCTATGTCACCTCCTCAGAAAGACTTACTCTGTCTTGGGCAGGTCCCTACTTTCTATTTCCTTCATCCATATACACACCTGCAACTGTCTCTGTAGTTTCCCTCTGTGATGTGAACAAAGGTATAAATGCCTCAAGGACAGGGACCATGTCTGCTTTTTCACCGAAGCACTGCTTTGCACCTACCTGTACAGGGCCTGTAACATACCTAGTCAATCAGTAACTTATAGGCCCCTCTAGGGGGGGGGTTTTCTTTTTATCGGTGGGGGCTGGGGTAGGAAGCACATGAACCTGCACCCATTCTGAGATGCTACTTCTAGCTCTGTTAACAGCATGGCCAAGACCTGGTATAAAAGGACAGTAGGACTCAACAGCTGTGGAGAGCCTACTGCATGCCCTAGCTAGCTTTACATTCATTCTCCACTGAACCTTCATGAAAATCCTATTGGTAAGTGTCAGCAACCCATTTGAGAAATGAGGACTCCAAGGCTCAGAGAGATGCCTAAGGTTTAAATGGAGTGAGGTCATAATCTCATCTCATGGCCTATGCCAGGCACACAGCAGGTGTTCAATACATGCCAGTGGAATGAACAAGTGAAGTTCTCTAGTCTGGCTCAAAGCCATGTCTAAGTCTCCGCGTGGAGATCTAAGTCCTCTCTGCATCCCCTTCCCTCACAAACTTCCATTTCTCTAAGGGTGATCTTCTGTCCTACTGTAAAGACCTCACAGGGACCTGTTATTTCCAATGGTATTCGCCTGAGAGCATACCAAGTTGCTCGCCGTTACTATGGCTCAAGGTCACTATGGCTCAGAAGTCCACTGCCCCAGGACCAGGGAAGTCCAGGAGAAGTTCAAGGTTTTCCTCCTCCTTTTTTTTCAGGAGCTGGCGGCCGCAGGGCCTCACCTCATCCTCACTAAGGAAGAAACTAGGTAAGAGTCCAGAGTCCGTGGTCCTAGAACCACATCCACTGTGGAACTGTGATTGTGCCAGGGCTAAGGGAGTAGGGAAGAGGGCCAAGAGTGGTCCTTTGGGTAGTCTGGTTTCCTGGATGAGGAAGCTACGGCCATTAGGAGTGACTTGCCCAAAGTCCCAGTGCAAGGTAATTAGAGAAGACAGAGCCAGGGTTAGACCCTGGCAGGCCCTCCCAGCTCTTAGGCCTAGATCCAAGCTTTTTGAGGGCAAAGGGGTAAGAGGCAGGCAGTTGGCTCCGTGTTTAACAGATAAGGTGGTGGATGATGGCTTTACCTTCTCTGCCAGTTTCAGACCAAGTGGGCAGCAGCAATCCTGGAGTCTGCAGGTCTGAGGTGAGGCGGGAAATAAGCCTTTCTAACAAGTTCCCCTGGCATGCTGCCAGTCTGGGACCACCATTTGAGAACCACTGTGCTAAGGTTTGTCACTGGCACTGTGTGTCGAGGGGTCGGAGAAAGTGGGGAGTGTGGCAATAGCTTGTCGGTATCTTCAAGTTCACAGGATAAAATCTCGATCTATTAAGTAGAACACCTCTTACCCATAACATCCTCAGTTCCTTCCACTGATAAAAGGGCAACAGTCTTTCTAACCATGGTTAAGCCCATGTAATTAGGCTGCAGGTCCTGAAGAATCACCTCTGGGTCTGCCTATGGCATCACTACATTATGCCCAACTCAATAAAATCCTAAGAGTAGGTGGGAAACTGGAGTGCTAGGGACAGCGGTGCCCCTGCCATAGGACTCCCAAAACACTGGCTGGAGTGACTGCTCTCAGTGCTACACCTGCCTGATGCCCAGGCCCTGAGGTGTTCAAGGCAGGCGAGGGAGGAAGATCTCTGGATAGTGTCAGTGACAACATCTGGATTTCAGTTTAGGCAACTGGCCTAAACTCCCAAATAATTTTTTTTAAAGGTAAAAGTCACCCTGTTGTTTGTCTGGGGTGTGGTATAGTCACACCCATTTTTGCTGCTCTATGCAGTTCCTTCCAAACATTCATCAAACCCAAGCCGGCAAATCTGGTTACTAACAACAAATGAGTTTTTACTGTGACTTCCAGCTCTCCCATGTCTGGTACAAGGCTGGGCGGTGCTCAAAAGGCCCGTGCACTCTGCCAAGATCTGACAGCACTACTTCCCAGTCCCTGCCTTAGATTTGCCCCACACTGGAGCTTTCTGGGAAGACATGTCTTAGGCATGTCTAAACAAGCAGAAAGGAAAAAATAAGAGGGTGCTGTATGTGACATTTCCGGGGTTCTTTTTTCCAAAGGGATGGATGTAAATACAGAATGAATCCACTGGCTTACATCATGTGACTTTCCCACTGGAACAGATGATCAATACTGAAACCCAATATGATACACCCAAGCCAACCTGCCTTCCATTCCTGCTACAGCTCATGCCTCGTAATTATGAAAAATCAAGATCACCATTTACATTACCTGCCCAGGCCCACATTAGCTCCTCTGTGCAGCCAGGGGACACAGAGGCATTTTCAGCTTCCTCACAATGCACTATGATGTGTTTAGGTGGCTCTAATCCATTCCTCCTGAGTCCCTAGATATCACTTTCTTTTACAAAGAAACAAAATACTGAATTCTGACCTGTGTACAATGCAGGCTGAGTTATAGCTTCCCCCTGGCACCTCTAACAGAAAGTGAAATCCCTTTACGTTGGGAAATTCATTGCAGTACTTTATGGTATTGATTTATTTTAAACTTGGCTGGCAGTTTCAAGGCCTGAATCCTAGAAATGCTGCAGGAGGTCTCCATTTCCTCTGATTCTGTAATACCACCGAGGACTCACTAGGGGAAATGAAACGAGGGGCTGGGAGCTTATCTACTGCTGCCCTCGTTTATCAAGACAGAACCTTGGGGAGTCTCCCCAGGTTCTGGGTCTAGAATGCATCTCTGGTTAGGACTTTCACTAGAACAGTACCCTTTCCCCCTGCCAGCTCAGTCCTGCATCCAGCAAAGCCTCACTATGCCAAGGAGAGTTTCTGACAAACCCTGAGATGTGACCTCTTCTATCATCTGGCTGACAAGGTGCCCCTAAACCTACCTTCCAGAACCAGCCCAGGGCACCACCTCCTCCCGAAAGCTTTCCCTCCACTCTCTCCATGCTTCCTATAGGTTTCCCAAGTCACGCCTACTACAAACAAGTGTCCATATGGTATCCCCACTGCTAACCCGAGCTCCAAGAGGGCAACACTGCGGTCAACACCTCCACTGGGCAAGTGCCTGCCAGAGCCAGGAGGGCTCTTGCTCATTAAATCTGCCTTGGCCACAATCTTTCAACACAGGGCTGCAGGCAGCAACACCAATGACAGGCACACATGACAAAATCCTTTGCTTTAGTCAAGATTCAATGAGCTAAGTGTGTCAGGAGAGCCCAGCAACCCTGCCATTTTGCTTTGAGTCCTCATCAACCTCCAATGCCCAGGCTAAGTTCACTCGGAAAGGACTTTGGCGAAGGCACTAGGGAACAGAGACAACGGGTCCTTGTACAAAAGCCACAGACTGTCCTGCCAGCGCTCCCTCAGTGTCAGTGCTCTCCTGGCTGCCATCGCGTGGGTGTGCTTTGGGTCTCCCACTTCCCAATCTTTTTGGTAATGATGTCTCCTTTCTTACGTGACTTCTGCCTACTGTTGCCGGACCCTTGGTTATCCCAGCCATCCTCACCTAACCATGTTTGAGGCTGTATCAGTGTGACATAAGAGGAACCCACACACAGGTGACCTCGCCTGAAGGGTGAGATGGTGGCCCTGTGGCAGTGTGCTCAGATACTTGTCAGACTCTGAAGGATGCACGAGGCGGCACTGCCCACTAACACCTAAAGGACCACCTGTGATGCTGTTTAAAGGGGAAATCGTACTCTGCCTCAAAATATAAACCCATCAAAAGCTACTTTTAAAGAGGCTGTAAGAGATAGAAAACAGTGGAATTTCCAGTCAGGTATCTTGTTTCAAATCCTGACTCCCAAAACCATAGGACAGTGATTCTCAGCCTGCTCATCAGCAGAAAGATGGCAGAAAACAGAACACTTATGTAGATGCTGTATGATAATACATGTAAAGTACTTAATTCAGGGTCAGACTTTTATAAAAGGGCAGTAAAGTCAGGTGGGCCCTCAAAGCAGGTTTTTATACCCAGAGCTGTTATTGTTTGTGGAGTTTCTGTGTGTCCCTGGGGTAAGAGGAAATGGGAGTTGGAAGGACCCCAACCATCAAGGCAGCTTTACTCACAGATGGATGATTATAAGAGCGATTCTGATTTGCCCAGAGGGACGCTGTCTAGGAGGAGCCAAGGATGCCAGGGAGGAGGAGAATGTGAGCAGCAACAGCCTGGGCAGGCCTGTCCCTTTCACAGATGCTCTGATGTCCTGCTGAGCTTCAAGGGACAGATTATCCCTGGGGGCCACCAGCCACATTACATAACCAACAGCTCAGCTTCCTCCTGCTCATAGGCAGGAGCAGGCAAGGGATGGCAACAGCAGGCACAAAAGCTGCCCAGGGGAGCTGACTGACCTTGCAAACACCAGCCTTCCCCATGTGGGGGAACACTCAGAAAACACCAGTAGACAGACCAGGCCCCAGATGTCTCGGATACTAGTTCCTAGGAATGTCAGGTCTTCACAGTGAAGGTTCAGCTTTCAAACCCTCTGGATCTTCACTCACAACCCCTCCACTCATGCACAGCATCATGAAGTCTAGTGAGAAAGGCAGGGCTGGGACTTCCACTTAACAGGCGGGGGCTCAAGAAGGTCAGAGGTTTCAGGTCTGCTTGGATAAAAGAATTTGTAATCACTGGTTAAATACACCCCCCACCCCAATGTGCTCTCTACTTTAACTAAAACCCCCATTGTTTAATGACCTAATCACCCATTCTAGGGTGAGGGTGGCGTTTCCCTCCTCTTACCCTCCCTTTGTTCAAGGCTCCACCAGCGACTAAGTGGGCGAGCCTCTGGAGTATAAGATCAAACCTCTAATTCTGGCCCCTTGGGCAGTTTCGCCTTTCCCATAAAGCCGCCCTGGCTTACATTCTCCTTTGGTCTACCTACCTCGTTGTTCACCAGCACAACTGAGCTTCTTCAGAGAGGAGATGGCCTCCCAACTGGAAACCTACTCAGTGCCAGACACCTCCCACCCACTTCACTCCTCTTAAAATGAGCAGGCGCTAGGAGGGCTTTACTCATCTCAGAGTGAGCGGGCACTTGGTGCTCAGTTGTTAGTTGAAGTCGGTTATAAAAACATGAGTTTTAAAGATGATTCAATGAGGTAGCATACCATATTGGGTAAAGTCACCCATGGCTTTACTCCTTATTAGCTCTGTGACCTTCGGGAAGTTAATGAAATAATGGGCATAAAGCACTTAGCCCAGGGATGACCAATAATTACCATCATCTCTGGTCATCTTCAGCACTGTCGCCTTCTCCTTTGGAGCCTAACCCCTCAACCCTCCACACTCACTCCTTCCCTGGGGGCCTGACCCCTCATCCGCCACCTCCCCAGGGAGGGCAGACCTGAGGGAAGTGGGCATGTCTTAGGTGCTCCTGGGTTAGTTCATGGCTGTCCTGATGGCTGGGCCAGGAAGTCACAGTCAACACAGAAGGGACCTGGAGGCCTATCTAGTCCTGGGTTCCCAATTTCTCACCTAAAACTCCCTTTTAAAATTTATCCCCCAGTGATTCTGTTTTGAAGACTATGCTGTTTAAAACAAAATACATCAGTTGTTACAGAATGATTAGAAACCCTAAAAAAAAAAAAAAAAAAAACCCCGCAGAAACCACATCAGTTAAGCATTTCTTGTCCGTTTTTAGTGTCACTTCTGATTAACTTGATACCTATAACGTGACACGGTTTGGGGTATAATTCCAGACAAAAGGAAGTAGATCTGACTGGCTTCCACAGCTTCAATGTGAGTAAACTTGCTTTGCCTGTTCTCAGATGAGCTGAAAAGGTTGGGAATGCCCCAGAAGACCATTAGGGGCCCAAGTAGAGGTTTGGGGACCTCACGTTAAAAGCACCTCAACTCTTGTAATACAGGGGCAAAATGTGAAGCCAGGTCAAGGGGCCAACCTAGGTCACCAGCTTGTTAGCCCCAGAACCATATCTTTGAGCCCAGGCCAAGGATTAATATATCACTTATCACTTCAATAAGAAATTGGGGCCGATTTCTTTCTCTGATGGTAACTGCTTAACATCAGAGAAAGAAATCAGGCCCAATTTCTTGCTGAAGTGATAGCAGCTACCAAAATCACATGCAGCAAAGAATATTTTCTATGATCCCTCAGGTCACACCAACATCTGATTTCCTTCAGCAGGCTTGAGCTGCCTGCTCCAAATAAACAGCATTCAAAGGCCCTGGCTTTGAAAGGCCCTAGTAACCAAGATTTGTATATTAGACAGCAAACTTGGCCATGAATGCAGATTCCCTCATCCATAACTTCCCTGGTAACAAGTGGGTGGTGGCACCTGGAACATGAATTTGGCTGGCTCTCACTTTGGATAAGGCTTGTGGCTGGCTGGTAGGAACCATTAGGAATTATTAAGCAATGTCAAAAAATGACAAATAAAAGAAAGATATAATCCATCATTAAGCAATCTTTAAAAATAGATAATTTTTCTGAAACAAGTCATTGAACAGTTGCCGAGAACAGCTTTGTTTAGGAAAAAAATCTGTTTGGTAATCATCAGAGGCAAGGCAACCACTCAAGACCACTGCCTTAAAAACACACAAAAAAAACACACTTCTACCTCAAGTCGAAGTGTACATATCTAAAATTCTACCATTTAACATTTCATTTAGGCAGTTTTTATAAGGCACTTTCACAACTTCTTGTGATTCCCAACAACCTCAATAAGATAAATATGATCCACTCTATTTTATGGATAATAAAACCCAGAGAGATAAAATAACTTGCCTCAGGTCACATAGCCAGTAAACCACAGAAATGGGACTCAATCCTAGATAATCCACTAGGCAACATACCTTTCAGAGGAAACCTTTGTTTCCAACTCAAAGTACATTTCCATTCATTGTTGCAAAACACTAAAATCATGTAACCCTGATTTAAATATTACTCTGAAATCTACAATCCTAGATTGGTGCGGGTACTGGGGATAAGTATGTTTCCTATATGCAGTAGAGTCAGAGCCACAACAACAGGTCTAATAGAAAAGCAGGCCAGGAATCCAGACACAAACTCCGTGCCTTCATTGGTCTCCAGCTGCCCCCTACTTCTCAGCTCCCCTTCCAGTAAAATTCCTCAGGAACAGTCATCAATACCACTATTGGTTCTCAAAGTGTGGTGTGCAGTTTGGGAATCCATGAAACTAATAAACTTTTTCATAACATTCAGACTTTATTTCCCTTTTCCCTTTCATTCTCTCCTAAGTGTATAGTGGAGTTTTCTAGAAGTTTCATGATGAGAGACATGGCACCAGGTTATAATACAGAAGCATATATGAGAATCCAGCTGACTATTAAGGCAGATACTAAAGAGATTTGCAAAACTATAAAACAGTGCCATTCTACTGTTTCATTGAAAATAGTTTTTTTCATAAATTATAATACTTATGTTAACATGTAGTCAATCTAGCTAGTATTTATATTCACTTGAAAGGAACATTTAAAACATGTTTTAATTTCTAATATCACAAATATCCATAGATAAAACCTAAAACAAAAGCTCTCTGGCGTCCTCGGTATCAAGTGTAACAGACCAAAAACTCAAACAATAGAGACATTGCTCTATTCTCTCACTGTCTCCAATTATTCTTTCATTCCCTCTCAAACCTATTCTAGTTAATGGTTTTCCCCATTATGTGCCACCAAAACTGTTCATGAGCACTAAGGCCTTCCCAGGTGTTAAGTCCAATGGTCCATCTGCAGTCCTCATCTCACTCCATCGACCAGCATATATGCCATGGCTGATTACTTCTTCCTCCTGAGGTATTTTCCTCACCTGGCTTCCAAGAGACCATATCCAGGTCTCCAATCCGTGGTTTCTTTTCTCCCCAATCTCAACGTTGGATGGCCCAGACTCAGTTGAATCTTCTCTATATTCACTGTAGTACCTTGGCCATCTCTAAATTTTATCTCTAGACCAGACCTCCTCTCTGAACTCCACATTCATCCAACTGTCCATTCTACCTCTGTAGTTGGCTTCAAAATAGGAATTCCAAACTTTCAGGTGACTAAAACCTAACTCTCCAGCCAAACCTGTTCCTCCTAATGTCTTCCCAATTTCATCTGATGGTAACTTTATCCTTCCAATGGCTTCCAAGGCCAAAACCTTGAAGTCATCCTTAATTCCTTTCTTATATTCAATCCAGCAGGAAATCCTGTTGGCTGACTTCAAAAACTCACCCCAAATCCAATCACCACCTCCCCCGCTCCCTTTCACCTGGGTTATTCCAGTAGCCTCCCATCTCATCCCCTCACTTGCTCAACCCTATAGCTTACTTTTAGCACAGAAGTCATAGTGACCCTTTTAAAAGATTACATATCAGGTACCTGAATACACACCAATGTGTTTCTATCTTATCCAAGAATAAGAGCCAAAATCCTTACTAATTGACTATTAAGCAATGTCAAAAAACGACAAATAAAAGAAAGATATAATCCATCATTATAAGGCCTATTCTAATTGACTCCTAGTTGCCTCTCTAGGCTTTCTTCCTACACTCCTCGGTTTACTATATCACCCTTAAGCCTTTATGCTGGCTGTTTCCTCTGGAATGCTCTTTTGCCAGAAATCCTCATGACTCACTCCCTAAACTCCTAACCTTTAATGCTCAAATGTCACCGTCTCAAGGAGACCCACCCCATCTCTTCTACTTCAAAACACACCTCCAGCCCCACCTGTCCTCCCAGCATTCTGATCTCCCTTATCCTGTCTACACCCCTCCCCCGCAGCACTTAGTACTTTCTAACATATCACCTATGTTATCTGTCTCCCTACGAGAATGTCTCCACAATTGCAAGAATTTGTTTTGTTCACTAATGTATCTTCTGTGCCTAAAATCATCTCTGCCAAATAGTTTCCCAATAAGTCAATATATGGAATCAGCTTCTCCTTCTATAAAGCCTAGTGGGAGAAAAAGGTATTTGGACTCAATAGACCTTCCCAATTTTAGCCAGACAGATAGAGCTCAAGTCATAATTGATTTGAACCTTTTGGTTAATCCTCACCTGAGGATATTTTCCCCCCACTGATTTTTCGAGATTGGAAGGGAGAGCGGGTAAGAAAGAGAGAGAAACATCAATGCAAGCGACACATTGATGGGTTTCCTCTTGCACACACCCCCCCTCCCCGATCCAGGTCAATATCAGGCCTGCAACCAGGTACATGCCCTTGACTGGGAATCAAACCCAGACCACCCTTCATTCTGTGGGCCAACGTTCTAACACTGAGCCAAACCGGCCAGGGCGTAACTGACCTGAAACTTTTAACACAAGGCTCAGCACCTGGTCACACAGACTTGGGCCCAGGCCCATAATTCTAAGTGCCCACCTTGGGCAGGAGCTACACTCAAATAGGAACCAAAAGATCAAGTACTGTGCTGTCTTTATTAGCTGTCAGCCTGGGACACCATGTACCTAACTTTTTCTCCTCTCAAAGTCACCTATTTCTCTTACTTGCAGGCATCACTCCTATTTAGCTACACTTTGCCCTGCGAAACAGCACAGATCTCAAGTGTGGATGTCCAAATGGAAGTCATGATCTCAATTAGTTGTGACAACCCCATAATCCTAACCCAAATTCAGGTCCCTCTTCCAATGACAACTTTCTTCCTATTCCAGGGCAAACTTGAATTCTAAGGGGTTTTTTAAAGTGGAAAAAGATGAGATGGAAATGGGAAGTGACAGCATGAAATACAATTAAAACACTCTCTAGCCAACCCTTTTGGGGGTTTTAACGTGGTATTAGGCCAAATCTAGCTTTAGGGAACATGCTTCTCTTCCTCATTGGGCAGGACTGGCCTGGCATCTGGAAGGTACTCATAAATGTTCATGGAATGGAACAATTAAAGCAAGTGACTCACTCTAGAAATAAATTCAGTGAGAGCACTACAGATGCAATCAGCTCAACACAGTATTTACCAAGTCCAACTAGAAATCTGAGGGTGATGAAAAGAAAGGAGGGTGACTAAAAACCCACCCAGATGATGGAAAGCTCTGTGTCTCATGTGCTAAGGCCCCCCCCCCTCCTTCTGACCAACCACCAGGATCAGCCCCATCTCCATCACCTCATCTCACGGCTTCAGCAAAATGTAAGAGTAGCTTACTTCCAGCTTGCCATATTAATATTAAGAAAAAGGGCGAAAGAAAGGAGTGGCATGAGTAAGACATACTGCCTTTAATTTAGTAGGATATAGAGTTGCAAAGGAGAAACAAAATGGTACATGTGACAATACCTAGCAAATATGGGTCAGTGTTCTTTTATTCCCTTCCCACAGAGATTTCTGTTAAGGAAAAGAATTCAAATCTGACCAGAACACTAGCTAGCATTTGTATATTCTGCCGTTAATCTCCCACATCTAGTACTTTCTTCTACTTCCACATCTGGCCAGTTGTCTAGCTAATTCTCTGCCCTGAAGATCAAGGCACTCCTTTATCCACAGTGCCACACAAATGCCGGTTCAACAACATTCCTTACTAGTGTGAATAAAGCTGACCCAATGGTCTCCACTCACCCAAATTGGTGGAGTCTCTCAAATGTGCTAAGGTCCCTCTGGCCTCAGGTCCTTCGCAGAGGCTAGATCGTCTACCTGGAATGCTCCTCCTTGCCTCCAATTTCCTACTCTTGCCTCTGGCCACCATCCCCCGAAAGGTCAGTTTTCCTTAACTCTTCTCATTTGTTGCAAAGAGACTCTAATAAATATTGAGTAATGTTTGTCTCCCCAACTAGGCTGCAAATTTCATGAGGATGGGGTAAATTTCTGGTGTTGCTTACCACTGTTACCCCAGAGCCTAGCACAGTACTTGACAAGGGAGAGCTCATAATAAATGTGGGCAATAATGTACATAAGCAAAGCCTTCCAGGTAAGAATCCTCACTCACAGTCTTTACAGTGTATAAGAATGGAGAAACCCTCTGGTATCTAGAGTAGGAAAATGGCTATATTATGGTACATATAATGAAAGCCATACTTTCAAAGTATGACATGGGGAAATGCTCAGATTAGCATGGAGTGAAAGAGCAGGAAATAAAGCTGTAACTCACCACAGCATGATCTGAACTGTGTAGAACTGGATGTGCAAGTAGAAGGGATACAATTAGGGATGGCATTTATCCTCTGAAAAAAATTGCCTGTACCCTTTTGTACATTTTCTACAGTAAGCCTTTATTAATTAATGAGAAAACATGGAAATGTAAGAACTCAACTCTAATGCAACTCCACTCAGAAAACTTCTAGACATTCCAACTCATACTCAAATAATCCCATATATCTCATCAAGACTTGGGGGATCTTTGATAACAAGCACTTACTAGTAGATCTCTTCAATCCTGCATTTCCCAGTTCCCTAAGGGCCCGCCCCAGAGCCCAGGGTGACCAATCCAGTCCAGGAAGACTGCATGCACAACAAAAAGAGTACACTCACCTAGTTTAAAAACAACCAAGATGCTTTGCCCTGAATTTTAAGCAGCACATGTGACCTGGTCCATTCTGGTTTCAAGTTCAAAGGCATCAGGCCGGTCCTGTGGGTTAGCAGCTAACATATCTTTCAAGAGCTGCTTGATCCCCTCAGACATGGAAGTCCTGCGTTTCTGGGGGATGTGCAACTCCATCTTTGGATTTTCTAGCAGCGCCTCACCAACAGGGACGATCTCGGTCCCCTGTTTGATATAGGTCCCCAGGAGCTCCTTCTTGGTCTCAGAGTCAATGAAAGTGATTCTTTCTATCATTGCCCAGATGATAATGCCCAGGGCAAAGATGTCAGCCTTGGCTGTGTAGTGTCCCTCCCAGACTTCAGGGGCCATGTAGAAGTCTGAGCCGCAGGCTGAGGACAGCCAGTATTTATTCACATTCACATTTTTGTTGTTCTGATTACCCTCTTTGCCTCGGGGGGCTAGCCCAGCACAGACCTTGCTTAGTCCAAAGTCTGCCACCTTGAGGATGGGGGTGCCAGACCTCTCCGTGATAAGGATGTTGTCTGGCTTTAGGTCCCTGTGCACGATGTGGTTTTTGTGCAGGAAGGCAATGGCGCTTGTGAGCTGTAGCATGAAGCTTTTGTTGGTGGCTGGGTCCGGCCTCCGGGACAGGACGTACTGATTCAGGTCTCCACCTTCACAGAACTCCATGACAAACCAGAGATAACAGGGCTCCTCAGCATAACCCAGGATCCTTTCTCCTAAATCAAAGGAAGACCGGAAAGAGCTTGAGTGAGATGGGCACATTCACACCACCTTGAGGCTATAGGAATGCAGTCTATTAAAGTTAAAAGTGACAGTGGTGACAATTGCTCCAATCCAGGAGGACCAGTAAAATTGGCATGAGCCAACTCTACACAGCCAGCCCATCTCTACTCACACAGGATGAGTGAAGGGACAAAACATGGTATGACACAGGCTGCAGGGACTGGCATCAAGCACCTGGATTTGGAGTTAAGGGTGCCTGGGCTGTAACTCTGTTTTACTGCTGACTGGGTGAACAGCCAGGAGGCAATGCAGTTTACCTTTCCAAGTTTCTACTCCTGCTTCTTCACCTGTAAATGGCCACATGTAACCACTTACAGAGGCCTGCACTGGCATTTGACATTCAACTTAATGTTTACCACTACCTAAGGAGGTAGAAGGAGACAGCTCCATCTTATAAAATGAAGAACCTGTGGCTCATAGAGACTCAGAATTCACAGACTCAAATCCATTTGACTGCGAAACCATTGCATTTCTTTTTTTTTAAATATATTTTATTGATTTTTTACAGAGAGGAAGGGAGAGGGATAGAGAGCTAGAAACATTGATGAGAGAGAAACATTGATCAGCTGCCTCCTGCACACCACCTACTGGGGATGTGCCCGCAACCAAGGTACATGCCCTTGGCCGGAGTCGGACCTGGGACCCTTGAGTCCGCAGGCTGACGCTCTATCCACTGAGCCAAACTGGTCAGGGCAACCATTGCATTTCTTTATACTGTTTCCAAAGAGGCAGCATCATATCATCCATACCTCCCAGGGCTGCTGATGAGACAAGGCAAAGCATGTGAGAAGACTGTTAAATGTTTGTTACTCCATGCCAAGCAAATGACCTTCCCTCCCTTCTTTGTAACTTGTATATTGATTCTTGTCAATACATCTACAACTGAACTACAATTCTGTTTATTCCAGAGGCACACTCCAATTCATCAGTTTTCTGCTAGCCCACCATATACCTATCACAGTGAGTACACAACACCCCCATCTCTAATGAAGCTTGATTTAAAGGAGGTTACTACTATTTCAAAGGTAGGTAGGAGTTGCCAGATCTAAAGAAATGAGAAGGGACAAGACTTAAGTTACCCCTAAAGGACAGGCTGTACATCAGCAGGGAGAAGAAAGAAGGGAATTCTAGGCTGAGAGATGGAATGGATTAACAGAACAAAGAACAAATGGACTAGAGGTATAAATATTAGTCTGGTGGGAACAGTGGAGTCTGAAGTAGATGTATAGGTGGAATCACATTGTATTGGCTTGAAACTCCAGATCTTATCGTTCTGTCTTTCCTTTTGAACCATAGAAGCTCCAGAAAAGCTGGTGACTGGCATCTCCACACAAATCCCAATATTCTTTTTTTTTTTAGTTATTATTATTTTATTTTTTCCGTCACCATTTACCCTCTCTATGCCATCTTCCACCTCCACCACGGTGCCCTTATGTGAAGTTATTTGATAACGACCAGTGCCCCAGAAGCTAAGCCTAAAGTAGACAGATGTCTTAACTAGCTGATGAGGCTGGGCCTGCCCAAGATTGTCACATGGATCATTCATGACTATGCCAGGGCCTAAGGACAAGTCCTATGATCCCCAGGATGGTGTCTCCATTCTACTAAAAAGGAGGGCTATATACAGCCTCTCCTGGAAGGTTTCTTTTTACTAGTTATTTACTTCATTATAAAGAGAAATAGTGATCCAGGGTATCCCGCCCCTTTCCAACCCAAATGGCCCCCAAATTACCAGAGCAGTCTACCAAAGCCAGTGGTTTAGGAGTTCTAGGTTAAAGCAATAAAATTGACAAGGCAAAACCCTTAGGTTTCTGACCATGATCTGACAGGCCTTATTTCCCCTGTAATTATATAATTTGTTTGTTTAATCACTCACAATCAAAGTAATACAGGAAGAACCAGTTTAGGGCAGATGGGTTTCTTTCTTTCTTTTAAAATCAGTTGTTTCCCATCTCATAATCCTCTTTCTAGGTCATTGGCTCTAGTGGGCTGAGGTTCTTTATCTAAAAACACTATAAAATGAAGTGGTGATCTGAATCCTGAATCAATCTAGACTCTAGAATAAAAACTCATAAACAGGAGCAAGACATGTCTGCTGGCGGTAGAGCCAGAAAGGAAAAGATTAAAAAAACATCAAATCCCTTCTGCAAAGGCCACATCAGAAAACAGGGCAACTTTTTCAATGAAACAGTGGGGAAAGAAAGGGTGGAGAGTGGTGATTATTTTATATACAAAGTTGGGAACTATGGCAACTAAAGTAAAAAGAAAACAAGTCTGCAAAACAGACTACTATGTAAGCCCAGGTTATGAGAATCCAGGGAAAGAAAGAATACCCTAAGTGAGTGGGTGGGTGGGTGGGGCAGATGGGACCCAGGACTGAAGAGCCTGGGAAGTGAGCGAAGCTTAGGAGACGGTTCGGGATTGGGGTAGGGGCTGTTTAGTGAGAGGAAAGCACTGGAGAGGAAACACTCTTAGGATCAGACACAGCATCCATGAGCGTGACAGAATGGAAAACTGGGGAAAGCAGCTACTTGTCCTGGCGACAAAAGGTACTTCTTTGCACAGGCTCCTTTCACCAGAAGCTGACGCATGTTTTCACGTGGAGTCCCCAGGAGCCCACTAAAACAAAAAACCAAAAACACACACGAAGAGGCTGGTCAGACTCCCAGGCCTTTCCTTCAGGCAGATTGCCTACGTGGGCCTCTCAGCTACCTCACAGCAAGGTGGAGGGAGGGGGGTGGCACTCCATGCATTTCTCTCAAGAAGCAGGCCGAGCTGAAGTAACAGGAAGAGCACAGACCAGAAGGCAAGGAGTCCCACGGGTTTACTGAGTGGTTTCTTCGTTCAAAGGAAAACATGGAGAGACTGAGGCATGATGACTAGAACTCTGGGCAAGTCCCTGAACCTCTCTGAGCCTCAGCCTTGTAATCCGCCAAATGGGAACGACACCTACTCCACAGATTACTGTGAGTTAAGTCACAGGCACGAAATACATTTTACCAAGTGTCAGATACTTTGGAGCATCACATCCTGCCTACCACTAACATCACTATTCCTACCAGATCTCAGCCTAGTCCTAGGAAGTCACTGATTTCAACATCTGGTGCGGCAGGCCATGTGTTAGGCAAGAGATGAAACAGATCAGAAAATGAAAGTCCATGATTCCATATCACATTTCACAGGCCTATAGCCAAAACTCATAGCTAGACCAGACCACATTTTTTTTAGGTGATCTCTATCTAAAAAGCATCCTCTCCCTCAATCTGCGTGTACCTTATGGGACCAGCTTGAATGCCAACCTACTAACACTTGCCTGATCCCCCAGTGAACTTGCCTCTTCTGAGCAGCCAAGGCCCTAGTCTTATAATTTACCAAGGTGACTGAATTGGAGAAGGGAAACTGGTCAAACTTTTGTGGAATTACCAAACACGTGTCCTGAAATGACACTAATTCCTGGGCCCCAAAATGTCACCGGGGTTCGCCAGTCGGAGTAGGGGCTTACAGAGGTCAGGTGATCCATGGAGCTTTAGCACAGGTCCATCTCACAGTAGTCCCGGTGGGTCCCCGAGCCAGCCTGTGGTGACTTCCCCAGTTTCAGGATGTATAATTGGAATAGACACATGCAGCAACTAGCAGAATCCCCAAACGAAATTCACAGGTTTTATTTTTAACAGATAGAAAAAAATGAACTTTACTTAAGTTTATAATTCCCTATTTTGGTATAATCGGACAGTTTCTATAAGATTAATGAGAGTTAAAAATTTAGCTTCCCAGAAGGGAAGAAAATAGCAAGACTGTTATTTGGAGGTTGTAAGGATTCAAGGTAAATTAACCTGGGAGAGTCCACTGGGTTCCAGGCACAATTTTAAAGGCTCATTATGTAAGCTGTCTCATCTCACTGGACACTGTTTTAGAGGCGGTAAACCTGAGAACAAGAAATAGGGTGTCATTCTGCCTGAGGAGCAGGGAAAGGTGGGGAGGAGAGAGGCAGGCTGAGAATCATTGCAAGCAGGGTCCTTGAGCTGTGTCTCCTAGGATGAAGGGAGGAGCAGAGCACAGTGGGGTGTGAGTTTGCAGCGAAGGACCCCAGTAATCTGGGGTAATCAGAAGAGAGCTGCAGTAGGAGATAGTCACAAATGAGGCTGGAGATGGAGCTGGAGTCAGGTCATGAGAAATGGTATCTGGCAGACAAAAGGATTTGAAGTTCAACTGGAAGACATGGGAAATAACTAGAAGTTCTTAATCTATTTTAGAAAAGATACTGCTTATTGAATCTAAGAAATCATTGATTTTAAGACATACCATTTAAGTAAGATCGACAGGCTGCTGACAACACCATGCTAGGTATTGACTAAGGCGAGTTCTGACTTCAGAGATGTTAACATGTGAAAGAGCTTGTCTGAGAATTGATGAAACAGTTCCCTCTGGAAGCATAAGGAGTTAGAGATGGAATACTCATCAGGAGGTTTTGAAAGCCCAAGAACTGATGGCTGGCAAGGGAGGGGTGAAAAGAGGATGGGAGAAAGAGGTTTTGGAGGTTTAGAATCAATAGAACTTAGTGACTTATCACATGTTACGAGATGGACAGGAAGAATTCAGAGAGGACTCTAGCCAATTCTCTTCTTACTCCAAACCCCTACCTACTTAGATGATAATTATACCCCCTGTCACAGGTGAGGAAATTAAGCCTCAAAAGATTAAATAACTTACCTATGGTCTCACAGCCAGTGAGCTTGGATTCTAATTGTGAGCTCCACTATTGCCTCTTAGTGCCAGCAGCAGAATTTAACACCTACATGTTTTATTTCCACTTCGACCCAAGCTCCTTGTTAAGTAGACTCTTATGTATAGGATGTTGCCAAGGAGTTTAATGTTCATACAGTCTGATTCAGGTTCATTTTTCAATAGAGAACTAATTATGATTTGGACTTAA